GAGGTGTATGTAAGGGTCGGTGTGAGGTGTAAGTAAGTAAAGGTGGGTGTGAGGTCTAAGTAAGGGTGGGTGTGTCTAAGTAAGGATGGGTGTGAGGTGTATGTAAGAGTGGAGGTGAAGTGTAAGTAAAGGTGGGTGTGAGGTCTAAGTAAGGGTGGGTGTGAGGTGTAAGTAAAGGTCTGTGTGAGGTGTAAGTAAGGGTGGGTGTGAGGTGTAAGTAAGGGTGGGTGTGAGGTGTAAGTAAGGGTGGGGGGGTGAGATGTAAGTAAGGGTGAGTGTGAGGTCTAAGTAAGGGTGGGTGTGAGGTATAAGTAAAGGTGGGTGTAAGGTCTAACTAAGGGTGGGTGTGAGGTGTATGTAAGAGTGGGGGTGAGATGGGAAGTAGGGGCGGGATGGAAGTAAGGGTGGGTGTGAGGTGTATGTAAGAGTGGGGTGAGATGTAAGTAAAGGTGGGTGTGAGGTGTATTTAAGAGTGGGGGTGAGATGTAAGTAAGGATGGGTGTGAGGTCTAAGTAAGGGCGGGTGTGATGTCTAAGTAAAGGTGGGAGTGATGTGTAAGTAAGGGTGGGTGTGAGGTGTAAGTAAGGGTGGGTGTGAGGTCTAAGTAAGCGTGGGTGTGAGGTGTATGTAAGGGTGGGTGTGAGGTGTAAGTAAGGGTGGGTGTGAGGTGTAAGTAAGGGTGGGGGTGAGATGTAAGTAAGGGTGAGTGTGAGGTCTAAGTAAGGGTGGGTGTGAGGTATAAGTAAAGGTGGGTGTAAGGTCTAACTAAGGGTGGGTGTGAGGTGTATGTAAGAGTGGGGGTGAGATGGGAAGTAGGGGCGGGATGGAAGTAAGGGTGGGTGTGAGGTGTATGTAAGAGTGGGGTGAGATGTAAGTAAAGGTGGGTGTGAGGTGTATTTAAGAGTGGGGGTGAGATGTAAGTAAGGATGGGTGTGAGGTCTAAGTAAGGGCGGGTGTGATGTCTAAGTAAAGGTGGGAGTGATGTGTAAGTAAGGGTGGGTGTGAGGTGTAAGTAAGGGTGGGTGTGAGGTCTAAGTAAGCGTGGGTGTGAGGTGTATGTAAGGGTGGGTGTGAGGTGTAAGTAAGGGTGGGTGTGAGGTGTAAGTAAGGGTGGGTGTGAGG